GGGGGGGGCGGGCAGAGAGGGAGAGAGCCCTTTCTTCTCCCCTTTGATTTATACCCACTTTCCTTGGTTCCGTTCCCTAGGTCAAGCCACAGACCTACGTATCCCATGTACAGGGAGGGGTAAGGTGTTTCATGGGATGATGTCACTAGCATGATCATGACAGCCCTCGTTAGCATATTGAGGGGTGTCAACTTTAATATGCATTTCGTGGATAATGAAGCAAAGTTTGTTCACCGGACACATGGCCCTTGAAATCTGCCCAGGTGCCCCAGAGAAGAGCCATCCTGTCTCCACAGGGCTCTCTCCCCCAGATACATCGGGCAGCCTTGTCAGTTTTGGCCTCCACAGAAAGCACCCTGTGACTCATGGTTTTGTCTTGCGACTGTTTGAGGCATTTCTTCAATCAGCCTCAACTTTTGCTTTCCCAGGCTGTTTGTCTTAGTTTTTCACAGGCCTGGTTTATCGTCTCTCACAACACTGTAAAATAGTTACTCCAGTAGAGACTCCATAAGAAACTAAAGGAGTATAAGGGACTGCAGAGAAAGGAGTCTGAAGCCAGCTGGAAGACAGGCACTAAAGTCTGTTATCTCAGCAGACAGGGTCCAAGGAGAGGAGCTGGAGGGCAGGAGAAATGCAGCATACAAAAGCAGAGGCTCATTGGGAAAGGGGCATTTTAGGCTGTGAGTTCCCTCACCTCAGTCTCCAGGTGTGTCTGCCAAGTGTCCAAAGACGTGGAAGGCCTGTGTGTTGCTTCTTTGCACCTTGGGTGGCCATTCCTGTTCTTGAAGGTCAGCTCTACTTCCAGTGGACATATTTAAAAATATATCCTTAGCTTAGACATCAAGGGGTATGTACAGCTCTGAGGTGTGTTTTTCAAATACCAGCTTTTCCCAACAGAAATTAAAGAAGTCACCTTTTCTGTTTCTTAAAAACTCCTTCATGCAGCCTAAGAAAGTTCTGCCTACCACTCACCCCAAGCATGTACTTCTCCACATACTTCAGAGAGTTTTAGGTGTGAGCAGATTTAGATTTAACTTTTGCCTCGCTGTGACACTTAACAGCTTTGTAGCTCCTAATCTCCCAGCAGACAACACGGATATATTATGAGCCAAACACCCGACCACTGGCACTATGTTAAACGGAGGGGAAAGCTACCTGTGAAAGAACAACAAATAAGCATTATCTTAGAGAAATCCTGGTCAATGAGCATGACAAAGGTAAATCTGAAAACAAATTTGAAAATTAGTGGCCTAAACAGGCAAAACACAAGTTTGGTTGGTTGGGGTTTTTTTTATATAGAAAAGGGTTAAGTTCTGTAAAATCTTCTGAGATCCAGGATCCATGGTGTGAGAAGTTGATACTTGAGCTTTTGTCATCTGGATTGAGCAGACAGGTGAAAATACTGGCTGCACACTGGACAAACCCAGTTCAGCTAGCAAGACTAAGGTTGGCCACTGCCACTTCAAGAGAGTCTGTTTTTTCCTTCATAGAAGCCAGTCAGAGAAGGAAAGAGAAATCAGTACAAACGTGTTTTGGGGTTTGTTTTTTGGGTTTGTTTTGTTTTTTGGTTTTGTTTGTTTGTTTGTTTGTTTTTCTGAAGCAACAGAACAGAAATAAATCTAGGAAATAGCATGGCATGCTGATTCTGAGAGCCAGTGTCCTCTGGAATGTAACTAGTATGATGGTACAAGCCATCCTGTTGCTTGCTAAAAGGGTATGTTACAAAGAAACAGAGATGTTGCTATAGTGCAATGATAATAACAAATCATGTGGGAAGAAAATCCCTACTGTACTTGGAAACACCATCTTGGTGAGGCAGGTTGGTTAAAATTCAAATTTTCCTGGCTGTTACAGGTTGAAGCTGGATCTTTAACAATGTTTAAATGAAGCAGCATTCATGATAAAACTTCATGTATGTTTTTAGTAAACATGGGAAGCCTGTCAGTGGAATAGTGGATAACAAGTAGCTAGATGATAGAGGAAAGACTGTAAGGGAACACTGCAGAAAACAAATAGTCTTTCTGCTCTATTGAAAACCATGCTATTTACAATATTTGGGGGGGGGGGGGGG